ATTATAAATATATTCCGATTCGTGCTGATTGTTTCTGCCTCTATACATTAAAGAAAATTATCACATGCTTTTAAATAAATGCAATTTATGTATAGGGGCCCGTGATTTTTCAGTCCGGGCCCGAGTCTTCTCCCGAAGGCCCTGCATATGCGCCTACTGCGAAGGAGATGTAATAGAATACGTCTGTTTTTCGTGTATGCGATTTGACAGCACCAGATGCAAACTCCGCAACATATTTGGCGATAGTTTCACACCTGAGTCACTCGTGGAGGCTATGCTACAAAGCAACGAAAAATAGTCGGCAGAATGTGACGCAATAGCAGAGGCAATGAAGGGGCTAAGCACGGTGGAGAGAATACAGAGTTGGCGCCGATGACGATACCGCTACTCGGCTCTCAGTGATTTTGACAGAATCAGCTGTTTTGGTGACGTCACAGTAGAGAAGACAGCAGTTTATTTACTTACTTATTGTTGGTAAACATCCTTGTGTGTGTAAAATCAGCAAGTACAGAAATTTCGAGAGTTTTATTAAATACTTTATTTAATTAAATTTATTTTAATAATGCGGTGCGCAGTAAAAACTTGTGCTAGTGATAACAGCACTACCCCGAAGGGTTTCAGTTTTTTTCGTTTTCCTTCTGATGGGGCACTGCTGGAAAAGTGGATCCAGTTCTGCCAGAGGGATGATGAATTCAACCCGAAGACGAGTGTTATATGCATGAAGCATTTCACAAGTGATGACTATGAAAATAATGTAGAATTCAATTTGGGTAAAGTATATTTGATTCATATTTTTGTATTCAGTAAGAACGTGCTATTGAATATTCCTCAGGATTCGCTAAGAAACGACTACTCAAGCGCGGTGCTGTGCCAAAAGTTTGTGTTGCCAATCCTGAGCCCACTCAAGAATTGAATAAACAAATTATAAGTGATTTGCTTCAGCAATCCACTTCAAAAGGTAACTAAAGTTATAACAGGTAAAAAGTGTATTTCATTATTACAAGCTTGTGTATTATAGAAGTGTTGAATGTGGAGGAACCTCAAGAGGAACCTCACGGATATGTTGACGCTTCGACATCACCGTCCCGAGAATTTTTTTATTATGACTGCAATTTACAGGAAGTGGAGGAGTTGAAAATAAAAATGTGAGATAAATCCATATAAGAATGTAATGTGTAAATTATTTTAAACTACATCTAGAGTGGCGCTACAACGCGAAAATGAGCTGCTTCAAAAACAGAATAAAAAGCAGAGCAGCGACCTTGTGGCTTTAAAACGAGAATACGAATCGCAACAGAAAAAAAGTGCTTGGGAAATGGAACAATTGCAGAAACGCCTTTCAATTATGGAAACTGAATGCAGCAATATGGAGGAGAAACTGGCAACAATTTTTACTAAAGGCCAGATACAGAAATTAAAATCTGGATCAAAACGACCGACCTGGACTGAAAACGACATCGCGCAGTCAGTCACATTGTATGCTGCAAGTCCTAAGGCTTACAGGTTGCTTTATAAGCAAAAATTTCCCCTACCTGGAATTAGAACACTTCAAAAATGGGCGGAAAAGCTGGAGATGTCAAGAGGCTTGATACAACCGGTATTCCAGATACTCAGAGCCGCTACCCACATGGACACATTGCAAAAGCTATGTGTCCTGAGTTTCGACGAAATGAAAATAAGGCAGACATATTGTTATGATACTTTGTCGGACTCAACACTAGCGCCTGCAAATTACGTACAAGTAGCAATGCTCAGAGGTAAATACCACAACAAACAATTTACTTACTTGGATTTCTAATATACTTATATTCATTAGGACTTATGGCTAAGTGGAAACAGCCCGTGTTCTACGATTTTGATCGCAAAATGGAGGAAGATGTGCTGAAAAACATTTTGCAAACTTCACAAAATTGCGGTTACAATGTTGTAGCGGTTGTATGCGATCACTTTTTAATGCGCTTAATATAGACGACGACAACCCTTGGTAAGTTATAAAATTTACATCGTCTTGATTTATCTTTTTATCACAATCCGTAAGAGTTTAGGTGAGTTTCTTTAATAAGGTAGCCACCTAAACTTATTTCTTATGTAATTCATTTCTACTTCGCAGGTTTGTTTTCGGAGATCGAAAAATTTTCGTTTTTGCGGACGTACCGCATTTGCTAAAATTACTAAGGAATCATTTTCTTGATCAAGGGTTCTTAATCAATGGAAAATCGGTTAAAAAGGAAATAATTTTAGAGCTGTTATCATGCACCTCTACAGACTTGACAATTACACATAAGATTTCGGCAAGTCATTTGAGCGTGTCAGGACCTCACCGACAAAAGGTAAAAACGGCTGCTAAATTATTTTCACATACGGTAGCGCAAGCAATTACGAGGGCAGCAAGCTTAGGCCACCTTAAAGAGCAGAATTGGAATGAATGCTTCCAATTGTTTAAAGTAGTTAGTATCTTTGACAAAAAAATTAACATAATTATACATCTTATTATTATAATAAATTTCAAACATTTCAGACTAATGATTGGTTTGACGTTTTGAACGTCAGGGTGCCACACGCTGGTTCGAGAAAGCGATGCCATGCTTACGGCCTAGCTCTCGAGGAACAGGACCAAATACTGAACGAGATGACGGATATGATAAAAAGCATGAGGGTGATTGGAAGGAACACTTTGCTGCCATTCCAGAAAGGTAACACAACTAATATACTTTGTGATACTTTATAATATAATATGTATTCCATATTTGTTGATATGAGTTTATGTTCAAGTATTTACGACTTTTGCTTAATTTACTTTAAGGAATCATTCAGACGAATAGAGCACTGAAAATGTTGTTTGAAGATATAAAAACCCGATTTAATGGGAAATATATTTTAACTTACCGTCTCAACCAGGATGTGCTTGAAAATTTTTTTGGAGTGATCCGGTCAAAAGGTGGGCTGCACGATCACCCGGATCAGCAAGAATTTAAATACTGCCTCAGGTTGTATTTACTTGGGCATAATGAAGGCGTCCTATCGCATTCTGCCAATGTCGAGGTAGATGATACACCTGATTTAGAAATAACACAGGCGCCTCTTTCAGGTAAGTATTTAAAATACATTTAAAATAGATAGTTATGTATATACCCAACAAATCACGCAACTATACTTAAAATGCATGCCAATGTATTCGAAGGTATAATATTGAAAAATTTGAAAGTTGCTTCGGAGCTATGGCCGGTGGAGCAGCTTGAATTCGAAGATTTGGAGTACGATGGTTTGGAGCACTTAGCTGGGTATATATGCCACAAATTGCGAGACGACATACCTAGCACCTCAATCAGAAGTAGGGAAGATCCGTCATACTCCTGGGCAACTCACTTAAGTGAGGGGGGTTTATCTATCCCCAGCAGTAGTATGATGGATGTAATGCGTGATCTAGAGTCAGTATTTAAAGCAATGAATGAAGATGGCTTGCTCATTACAAACGATTTTGTAAAAAAACACATTGAGCAAGCTTCCAATATTCATTGCGACATTAAAGTGAAAAAATTATTTTTCAGGGCAAGAATGTTCTTTAAAATAAGAAAACTAAATAAGGAACTTATTGAAAATGCCCACAATAGAAAAAGAAAATTTAAAAAAATACTGACCTAGACTTAGAAAATAGCATACATTTACAAGTAAGTATAGTTTATTTTTTTTGAAATTAATTGTGATACCTAAAACACTGATACATTTTAGCGAATTCATATAACATTTATTGAATTTGTATCACTAAGTTTTATTATTTCAGCTGCCATACATACGTTTCATTTTCAAGAGTTTGGTCCTATCGAGATAATCCACTAGATGTTACCAAAAAAGGCCCACGTTTGCATTACAATCGGCAGAACTCCTCAACATCTTCCAAAAAGAGGCCCTTTTCAGGGCCGCCAAATTTTTAACAAAGAGATGAAAATGGTCTTTACAAAAAGAAACATTTTTAATTTTGTTGCCGAAATTACAGCTATGGTCAAATATTTATTAGCACTAAAACATTATCGAACTTTTAAATTTTTATCTAGAATATTTGAAAAAATAACATTAAAACATTAAAATACTTTTACCTAAAAATAAACTTAAATATAAATATATGTATATCCTACAATCGTTTATTATAACGATATCTCAACTATTGCAATGGTTCGCAATATTCCTTAATAATTAATTTACATGGGAACGCATGACATTCTATAATTGAGTCGTTCAGTGCACAAATTGATAAACTCCACCAAAAAAAGTTGGGAGGTGCGATCAAATAATGTACATTATTTCTTAAAATTCCATTTATATAATAAAATCAAATAAATAATGTTATAAGTATTATGTACTAAGACTTTTCAAAAAGTGGAGTTAATCGATGTGTGCACTGAACGGCTCAATTATTGCACAAACACATACGCAGAAAGGTGTAGGCAAACTGCCTAATTGATGTCCAAGCCTTTGTAGCCCAATTCGATGTTGTTCATTTGCAGGAGCTATTAGCATAAAAAAGTTAAAATAGTTTAAATTAAAGTTTTTTTTTTGGATTCTACATATTTATACATACCTTCGATCACTGCTTTAACGTGTATAGCTTTGTGAAGCTCTTCCATGTGTTGTTTATCTTCTCCAATATATAAAATGGCAATCAGCGGTTCGGTTAATTTTACCGGAAATTGACGGCCACTTTGACCGCAAGCATACAAAGGCAAAGCTCAAAACCATAGCTTATATTACACCTGAAGCGCCAGTGGGATTGTGGGAACCCAGCAATTAGTAGAACAGTGTGAAATTTGGTACTTGCTCTTATACATACATATGTGGTGATTTGTTTGTTAGGCGCGCCCCTTTCTGTTTTTTTTCTTCAAAGATTCTGCACTCAAACAAAGATTTCCAGGCTGCAAGGTGTAATATAAATCATAACAGCCTTCGACATAAGTAAATGCCTTGGCTATTTCTGGTTTACTAGCCGATTTGAACGAAACAAACTCTTCATATTCATAGCTGCATGTTTGACATAGCACTGCGTACATGGAAGCATTAATAAGATCACCATTCAAATTATTATCTGCCTTAGATGTACTAGTACTAAAGCCTGTGGCCCGCAAATCACACTAAACGTGAACATGCACCTTGCGCAATGTGTGCATTGATTAAAATGGGGTTCCAGTGATTACTTCAAAATCTGAAAATACAACCGATTGTGTTGATGACCTGAAAAAGTGAAACTTATTTATTATAAGCACTGGCTGAGTGCGCAAACTTATTAAATTATACTTACCATAATAGGAGTTCATGTGTAGTGGGTGTTTGATGATATATACGTGGAAAGATCACTTCTACTTCCTCTTAAAGTATTTGAAGTATTTGTTATATAATTTCCTGCATTGGATGCTCGGATGCCGTACTGTGTACAAAGTTATTTTAAAAACATTGGAATCTAGTTGAAGAGAAAAAGTATGCAAATACGTGCATATGTATGCATATTTTGCTACTATTGAATGCCTTTCTGTAATGTTTACCTATGCACAACACCAGACAGGTACTCAACCAGCGTCACTTCCCGTCCAGCTTCATTGCGTTGCGCTACTGAGGCAACCGGGTGAAATTGCTCAGGCAACTGCATATAACGACCGGATTTGATATTCAAGGAGGCATAAACAAGACTTCTCCACCTTGCCGTTCGTTTTATAAACAATAACACTGAGGAACTCCTCCTCAATCGGTTCAATTTTTATGACATATGCAAACACAATTGTAAACGCACAAAATAGTACACCAACCAGGAATATATTCACTGACTCTAATATTTCTGCGTCCATTTTTCATTTCGCCATAAAATATTTGGTTTAATTAAATAAATATTCTATTTGCTATCAAAAGCCACGCAACTTGCACACTTTCCTAACATTTTCCTAACCTAACATAAAACTTGTTTACAAATATTGGACATTTTGACAGCTTGTTCTCGCCGCTCTCAGTTGTCAACTCTACAGTGACGTCACGCCAAAATTACTCTCACGAATTCTGCTGCGATCGGCGCAATCTTGTATTCTATCATTCTTGGGGGCTAAGGACCCCCGAATGGCTACGGCATAGCAGCGGCGTTTAATTACTATTCTCCCTCACGATGTAGGGCTTGACGTCATTCTTGTGTGTTGTGTGCATTTCAGTCACCGACTATCCCTTGCGGCGAACAGTTGTTTAACTCGAGTCTCTCCAGTTTACTTTTCGCTATTAATTTAGCTCCTAGTTGCGGTACATTTCCTTAAATTGTGACGTGCAAGCGCATTATTGATCAATTTCTTAGTAAAAAAAGAAAATTTGCGATTATTGTGTTTGATTAAGTGAAATGCCCCCCGGGGCTACCTGTCTCAGGGACAATCGGTTTGCAAGTTTTGCCGAGAGTCCACAAGCAAAGCGTAAGAAACCTTCAAAAAAAAGTATGGGAAACATTTCCTGAACTTCCACCAACAAAAAACGACGATCCAAAATTTATAGTGCTTAAAGCTGAGGATCCTAATAAACCTCTTTCCAAAATTTCGTGATTTCGTGTGCATGCTGCAATTCTATCAGTAAGTAAAGAAATTAACAAGATCAGCGAACTGCGTGACGGAAGCTTATTACTCCTAGTTAAAACAAAATCGTTGCCGAAAAATTCATTAAAACAAAATCTCTCCCTTCCATTGGAGCAATTAATGCTAGCTACCACCAAAATCTTAATTCGGTCAAAGGTACAATCTACGCTCAGTTCCTCATTGATATACCTGAGGAAGAAATTATTGAAGGTTTGTGCTCATATCAAGTCACTTCAGTATACAAATTCAAACGAAATGTAGATCAAACCGAAAAACATACTGGAGTTTTATTGCTTTCTTTCGATAGTTATGCCCTACCATCAAAAATTGATATAGCGTGGAGAATGACCTCTGTTTGCCCTTATGTGCCCAGCCCCATGAGATGCAAGTCATGCCAGAAGCTAGGCCACACCGCTAAAAATTGCAAAAACTCTCCCATGTGCGTTGTTTGTAATCTCCCAATACATCACCCTGAAAAATGCAATAGAGTTATGTGTGCAAACTGCTCTGGCGAACACGCTGCCTCCGCAAATACTTGCCATAAGTACAAGCAAGCAAAGGAAATACTCAAGATCAAAACTATTGAAAAATGTAGTATGCGTGATGCACTTAAAAAACACAGGGAGACTCTGCCAATTCCCACTTCGTCAGAAACCTTAGCTAACATCATGAAACCCATCAACCAAAACTCAGAGAATATTTCTGTTCCCACCAAAACTCTTCAACCATCAACAATACTGATTTAATTCAAAATTCCCAAAACAACTCTCACAAAATCGACAACGTAACTCTTACTTATACTCATTCTACTAATTCCCATCAAATTATTGGCGCATCAGGGCTCATTGCAAACAACAATAACGCATTAAACAACCACTCTTCTGAAAATTCAACGACCACGTATGCTTTCCATTTCCAGACAACCGGTCAGGTACGAGCATGATTTTTAATTTCGACCAAATTCAAATACATTGTTTGTTGGTCCAAATAATGAGACACGTATTTTTTCTTTTGGCTCGGAAAAATTTTTCGGCCGAATTAAACGCGATTTTGTTTTTCAGGCCAAAATCGATTATTCGAATTGACAGTGAGAATGTTTTTTTAAAATGCCCATAACTTTGTCAAAATTTAATAGATTCCAACAATGTTTTTACTCAAATGTCAGTAATTCTTGTCACTTCAAGATAGAATGATATAATTATTGATCTTCATTATTTAAAATTTTTTATTTAACAATAAACAAAAAGTGCAAATTTTTTGTTAAACTTAATTTCTCAAAAAGTGTATTTTTTTCTCAAGTTTTTTTACCGAAAAAGAGACACTTTGAACTACAATCAACCCAAATCTCTAATAGCGAAGATTTTTTTTTTCTGAGTTATGATATTTTATAGAAAATATACGTTTTTGTGGTACATAGTACAATATTCTTATATTGTTTAACTAAATGGAACATATGTTTGTAATATATCAGCAAAAAGTACAGCCGTGATCATTTTTTGTGTATTAAATAGATATGAGAACACACTTTCCACCATACAGTTTCGATAATAAAAAGCGGGAAAATGTGATTTTTTCAAAACATCAACACTGCATGTATGTATATCCCCCCTGATCAACATTTTACGACAATGGATCTTATCCAGATAATCCAACAAATTTCCTCCCCGCAAGTTCTCGCAGGAGATCTGAATGCCTGGAGCCCGATATGGGGTTCTACAGTATCCAATGGAAGGGGCAAATGCATTGAAGATTTGGTACTTTCCTCTAGCCTAATATCGTTAAACGATGGATCAGCAACGCATTTCTCTACCCACTCTACTTTTACACATGTTGATGTAACTTTGTATTAAGACACACTTGCTCCAAAATGCGAATGGAGAATTTTTCATATTTTACATATTTCTTAATATAAATTTACCATCACAAATTAGCAAGTGCAAACCGAAGGTGTTATACAAAACAGAACGCGCTGATTGGATAAAATTCCAAACTCTTAGTAAAACATATCGCAACACCAGTTCTATCTCAGAGAATATAAATCAAGAATGTGCTCGGATAACAAAAATTATTCGCGCAGCAGCAAACGCTGCTATCCCGCAAGTCCGCCAAAACTTGTATTCTAAGAAAGTTCCTTGGTGGAATAAAGACTTAGCTAAGCTGAGAGCAAAAAAACAAGCTGCATGGTACGAGTATGACCGATCTCGCTCCTTGACCAACCTTATTTTATTCAAGAATGCCAATGCTTCATTTCGTAAGTCCGCTAAACAGACCAAACGCAAGAGTTTTGAGGAGTTTACCTCGACAATAAATCCTTCCTCTAAGCCAAAACAGCTATGGAGAGATATAAAAAAACTTTCAGGAGCTCCTACTGTGTCTAGTGTTGAAAACTCCCTTGAAAGTGCGGAGCTGTTTGTTAATCGTTTCTCCGAGGCGAACTCAGACAATTCCTTCAGCCCCCTGTTTCGTGACCTGAAATCCGCTTCATTGGCTGCAAACACAAATTCCGCCTCCACCCCAATTTTTTCAGTCAAACAAATAGAAAGAAGCATCACACTTACCGAACTTGAGTTGGTGCTATCTCCGTTGAAGGGGAGAACACCCAGTTTAGACAAAGTTTCGTACCAGATGATTCAAAATATGCATCGGGAACTTAAGCATCGCTTAATTTTGCTATATAATGAAATATTTGATGGGGGCATATATCCCCAGTTCTGGAAAACTTCCTGTGTCCTACCAATACTTAAACCAGGCAAGTGTTCGAAGGAAGTTGACAGTTACAGACCCATCTCCCTCTTGCCTTGTATGGGTAAAGTTTTCGAAAAGATTGTCGCCAATCACTTGATGTGGTTTGCCCAGCGTAGTAATTACATTTCAACTAATCAAGTAGCCTACAAAAAAGGCCAGGGCACATTGGAAGCACTAATACAAATTTACCAATTTATTCTAAAGCTTTGTCTACCAAAAACCATGTTTCTATATTGTCTTTAGATTTTCAGAAAGCTTTAGACAGAATCGGTATCCACATAGTGTTAAGGCAATTAACAAAATGGAAAACTGGGCCGAAAATGTTGGCATTCATCAAATGTTTTCTGACCAACAGAAAACTTAAAGCTAATGTGAATGGGCTCCTTTCATCAACACTTTCTTTATGTAATGGAACGCCTCAGGGCTCCCCACTTTCGGCATTTCTTTTCATAATTGCATTCGATGAAATAAGCCATATTCTCAACACACAAAGTAGTTGATTATCAGTTATACGCTGACGACGTGATCATCTACACAAAAATGAAAAGCGTTAATGACACCGAAAACTTATTTGTAAAATTCATGAAGATATTACATCTTGGTCAATTGTATCTGGTCCATCCCTTTCCTTAAGCAAAACAAATATGCTCCACATATGTAAGAAAATAACTTGCAATGAAATTACACTAAGATATAATAATACTAACATCAAATGTATAAACGAATTAAAAATACTAGGTTTAATACTAGATTCGAACTATAATTTCAGTGCACACTGTAAATATATAAGAAACTCTCTAAAACTAAAGCTTAATATTGTAAAATATCTTTCGTCCAAGCACTCTCTAGTTCACCCGAATTCTCTTATTAATGTTGTCAGAGCTCTGCTACTATCACATCCAGTATACGGAAAATGTCCTAAGAGGTACATCAATCAACTATGTGCTCCATACCACAGTGCTATTCGACGTAGCTTGAGAGCTTTTCCGACGTCGCCAAATTTAGCAATTTTAGCTGAATCCGGACTGCCGAGCATTGCTAACAGAACCACAGAGTTAACCAATCGTCTATTGGTGAATTTGTCAATGTTATTGTGACTTTTTAACATTTTTATTTTTAATATTTTTTTATTGAGCTTAGTACCACGATTGTTTATTAGGAAAAATTGAAAAAGCAACAAAGTCTAAGCGGTAGAAGTTATAGCAGCTATTTCGGAGATCATCACATCTCCTCATCAGACTTCTTTTTTCTAGACTTCAGCAGGGATCGAACCTGCGTAATCGATGTTCAAAGTCAGAAGCGTTAACCACTGAGCTATGTACGTCCCGTAAACTCTTGTTGCTAATTTATTTTCCTTATTCAACCAACTACTATCAAGTGCAGCTGATTTGCCGCTATTTAAACTCGACAGCGTGGTTGTTGTTGTCAATTCTATA